GTCAGACTGAATACAAATATCAAAGTAACCTCAGGTCAATCCTACACATGAAAGCATCTTGCAAAACTGCAAAACATTATTACGCCAGTATGCAGAACTAACAATAGTAGAATACGAATCACAGAATGAGACGGAGAATTGGCAAAAACATAACTTAAGGGTTCTGTGCCCTTATTTAGTGAATCCAATAAAAGCTTAGGTATTAAAGATTTAGGGGTGACACGATCACTGTCTTCCAGTACACAAGGGGCTGCCACAGAGAGGAGGCGGTCAACTTATAACCCCCTGAGGGCAGGGACAAGAAGTAACAGGTGGGAGGTTATCAAAGAGAGATCTGACCTAACACTAAGAAGAAACTTCCAAACAGGGAGGACAATTAACCAGTGGGGAAAAAACTTGCCTCCAGAAGTTGCGGATGCTCCATCACTGGAGGTTTTTCAAGAAGAGATTGGACAACCATTTGTCAGGGATGGTATAGAGCAGGAGTGTCAAACTCAAGGCCCGGGTGGGGGCGGATCTGGCCCGCAAGGTGCTTAGATCTGGCCTGCCGGGCAACCGTGGAAACAGCAAAGGACCGTCCTGTGGTGCTTCTGCCAGGGAAAACAAAGTTTGGGGATGGGGCCACCCGCGGCCTTCCTTAGCTCCATTTTTGCTGGCGGAGGGTTGCAAGAAGCCGTCGCAGCCGAAAACAGAGCTCGGGAGCCCGTTATCGCTGGCAGAATGGCTCAGGCCACCAGAGGCCATACCCCCCCCCCCCCGGCCCCCCCCCCCCCCCCCCCGGTGAGGAATTGAGTTTGACACTCGTGGTATAGAGTCTCCTGCTCAACCAGGGGGGTGTACTAGATGATCTCCAAGGTCCCTTCCAAACCTGTCACTCTGTGTTTTATGTTCTCATTTCTTTGGCCAAACTGAGGTTAACCTTACTATAATGGTGGCTTAATTTTAAACTATGTAGAGTTTTTATCATTGTTCTTCTCTTTGGGCCCATCTGGATGGCAAGTGTGTTATACCTTAGAGATATTGGTAATTTTTAGGGTGCAGGTATATTAAGATACCAGCTTGTTTATTCTAGCCTTGAACAGAGTAATAACTCTCAGCAGTAACTTCTTCCGTGTGGAAAACTGTCCTCTAAATATGGAAGAAAAATGTCAAACTTTCACAGGTAGCTTTGAAAGGAATGCTGCGGTCAGACAAAAAGCCGCAAGGAAGTCCCACCCCTGACGGTGCCAGTATTGAAATAAAAGTTTCTTATTTTACAAGAGTGCCCGCAATAGGAATTTGCAAGGTGAGAAGTGTAATTTGAAAGCAGCAAAGTGGAAACCAAGCACGTTCAATTAGTTCCTTTAGGATTTAAGTGGATTTGAAGTGGATTAGGACACGAGTCTATCGGAAAGAATAAAAATGACAATGACACCCAAAAAGGACACCACTAAATATATGGTTGGCTAACAACCCAATGACACCAGCACCAGGGGTGGGTTCCTACCAGTTCTGTCCACCTCTGAAGAGCAAGCAGCAGACATATGTCTGCTGATGTTTTTGCCCACACGCCCACCCGGGCTCTTACCTGATCTTTATTTCCTGATTTTTCAACTTCAGCTGCTGAACGAGGCACAGCTGCAGTTAACAAAACAAGAACAGAGGGCTGTTTCAAAGGCTGCTTCTCTGCACGCAGTGTGCTGATGACGATTTACAGGCGTGCGGCTCGCAGCGTGCAGGGAAGCACATAATAAATCACCGAACCTCGTAAATCCTGAACTGGTAGTTAACCCTGTCGTATCCCACCCCTGACCAGGACCATATTTATTAGAATGAACTGATATCCAGGCATCAGACTTGGTGTGTGTGTGTGTGTGTGTGTGTGTGTACCATACTGTCAGGTTTCTGGCAATTCTAAATCATGAGTCTTGAGCCAAACTCCCAAAATTTCAAAAGATTTATTGGAAGTCAACATGTCAGCATGACCTGGGTGTAGCCGACTCTGAGACACATCATTCACTGTCACCCTTGAATCTGCTTCCCCCACCCCCACCCCCCTGGGTGTATCGTAATTCATATTCTCCAATGGGACACATCCATAGCCCAGAGTCATCAATCATGCTCTCCAGTTAGAATTTTGCACGGCAGAAACTTCAGTCACCTAGCGAACTATCTTTGAAAACATTTATGGAATGCAGTTTTGGTTTTGCAACTCTAAAAAGACCATAGAAATACTTTATGAGTTGACACATACTGTAAATTAGGGCTCCTAAGTTCTTATAGAATGAGATTGGTCAACTAACAGTCTTGCTAGTTACAATGAGCATTGGGTGAAATCCAGCAGGGAACCATTTACTTATTTCATCTTTTTAAAAAAAAAAAAATCAGTTCATAACAGCTGCCTATTTCACAGCCCTATTTTCCTTGAAGATAGAGCAGCCAGCCGATCAAGTGTTAGCTGCTCATACTACAACCAGGCAATATGACCCCTGCCATGCCCCTGGAGTCTTCCTTTCAATTTTGTTTTGTTTAAATTGAGCGGAAAATAAATGGAAAGCTGGGCTGCTGTCAAGGGCCAGCAAGTAGCATCTTCTTCATTCCAGTGTGTCTCCAACCAGATCAAAGAGAGGTTGGCTGCTCCCATCTCTGCCCCTGACCCTCCAAAATAGCAGGGAGCATTGGCAAAATGTAGCTGCCGTACTTGTAATATTGTAAAAGCTGTTGCTGTTTGAGAGTGCAGCTATTTGCTACGACACACAAAAAAAGAAGATGCTGTACCCTAGAAAGAGTGCAGAGAAAAAGAACAAAAGGCCTGGGGCTACATAGTACGATGGTGAATAGAATAGAATAGAATAGAATAGAATAGAATAGAATAGAATAGAATAGAATAGAATAGAATAGAAT